AAGACCAAGTGAGATACCAATTAATGGTTAAGTCCAATGGCAATTGAAAAGTTGTAACCACACACGGATAAGGTCGACGTGCAATCATGAAGCCTAAAGCTATGGAAATCCAGTTACAACCATTAATTTGAATATTAACCTCTTATAGGCGATTACACTTTGTAGTAGATATAAAGCCTCTTGAATTGTTAGAAACATATTCATATTAATATATAATAACAAAGATAAGCATGAATCAAACAAGCAATAACCCCACATTGTTATTGGAAATTTGACGACTTGGCAATTGCCCCACGATTTTGGGGATGCGCATAACTTTTTCATGGTAGGATTATGAAGATTCCCCATGTGTTTATACCATTTGACCATTCTTTTAACTGTTTCCATTTTGAAATTTCCTGATAGAACCCATCATTCAATTTCGACGGAATTGTACATTGCAAAACTCATATCCACAACAAAACTCATTTCAGAAGTAATTTCCTTAGTTTTGAGAAAAAACGCGGCTTAGAGACCATTAAATTAGTAAGGCATAGTTGTACATGAATGAGGCATCAAGGTGCCAGCCAAAACCTCCTATAAAAAAATAGATCAACCACTTGGAGGAATATCATGAAAAGCCATACATTCTCGAGATCTAATAGCATAGTAAGGCATAGCCAGCCAATCATGCGCCTTAGATAAAAACCTCAAGCGTTGAAACCCCAAAGTGATCAAAAGAGAAATGCGAAAGGGGAGCTCACCTATTTCATGGACCCCTCCAAAGACCGGCAGCGTAAAACTCAACATTGACGGGTCAATCGTCGAAGGAGAGAGGGAGGGAGCCATTGCCGGGATCTGCCGAGATTCTACTAGGAGAGTAGTGGGTAGTTTTGCTAAAAGGGTAGTCGCCTCCTCGGTGCTAGAAATCGAAGCCCTATGTTTGCATGCGGCTCTATTGTACTTAGAAGATGAAACTGATATGTGGAGAAGGGAAACTAATCTGCAGTGAATTGTTGATCTGCGCATAGTGGTGAGCTCTGATAGCTTATCTTTGGTGAACATTATAATGGGCCAGACTCCAGGCCCGTGGGAGCTTCGAGCCATCCTTAAAGAATGCAAACAGAAGCTTTCCCAGTCAAAAACTATAGGGTTGGTCTACAGCCAACGCGAATCAAATCAAGTGGTAGACTGGATTGTCAAGACTCATCACAAGAAAGCCCCACTGTAAAATTGGCTCGTAAAGCCGCCATTACTTTTATGGGATCTTTTATATTCAGAAATCCATAACTTATGTTATCCTTTCTTTAGTTAATGAATGAAATATTTTGCTTTTCGACCAAAAACAGAATAGTTTGCAATCCAATCAGCACAAGTATTCCCCTCTCTCTAAGTAACTTGGAACTTGACTTGCCATTGCCTCTACGAAATTAAGCGAATTCGCTTAACCAAAGAAGCCATGGATAACCCAGATGAGTCGTTTGTCAATCATATTAAGGACATAATCGAAGTGGAATCCTTCTCGAATATGATTCTACGGTGGTTCAGGTTGCAAGCTAACTAAAGCCCCTGAACAACAGCTCATAGTTGAGCTTTGATTGCAGAGCAAATGCCAATGCAATTAGCAAAGCCTCCAAAGCACTTGCCCTCCTCCATTCATCAATAATCTTTATTGGACAGATTGAATGGAGAATCAAATATATGTGTGTGTGTGGAGGCCTTCACATGTAGCAAATTTTCTACCTAATTATTCCAACATTATTAGGATTGACGCGAGGATTGAGTAAATTATAATTTTGTATATTAACACAAGGTGTATTTGAATTGATGTATCGAACTAAGCGAAGTGAAAATTGGCACCTATTCTATTATCCGCCCAATTTCCTGACAGACAACTAGTATGGATTTGATTTCAATTGAACCAAACCAATCTATGTTGTGTATCCATTATTGAGCTAATATTTTTATTTTCATATGTAAGATGCTACTATCACTGCTATGATTTAAGAATGTTCAAGGTATGGATGACAATTCTCGACATGACATGAGAACACTACCCAATTATTTCATTAGGATGCTTGCGATCCCTAGTTTCAGGATGTGCAATCGAAATCGGGAAATTGCGAACTTCCCAACATTGTGAAACTTTGTTCCCTCTACACTACTCACGCTTTATATTAGACAACAAATTAATGAACACCATTTTGAGAATCTGGAGCGGTGTTGGTTTAGGAACAAGAAAAAGAGCGATCTTGAGATATAGTTTAGCTCTCACAACCAAAAACTAAAAATTTGGGGCAGCAGCCCCAGATGATGGCGACATAAATTTGAGAAACCATCGCCATACAACATGAGTTTTACTAAACTATTGTTATGTTCATAAATAAGCATTAGATCTCTTGTGCATTACGCTTGCAAGCCCTTCTCATGATATTCATGGATTAACTTACTTGAGGTATTGTCCACTCACCTATCTTGGGAGTGCTTCCACTTGTGCACACTTAACTTTGGAGTTCCAAAGCTAAGCATTGCTATTACAATAAAAGGCTCATCCGTGAGTTAATTTCAATTTTCATATATATATATATATATATATATATATATATATATATATATATATCCCAGAATCGCTCTCCACTATTCGGTGCACAATTCGATTTATTTCTGCCCTCTTCGTCATCCTAAGAGTCTGCTAGGAGCTGCTCTTTGTCCAGGCCCTCTGGCCGCGGTGACCACTTTCCGCCCTCATCTAACCGGGTCGTTACACTCCTCGTGTCACGCAGACATCACCGTGTGATGCAGACAAGGGCCTGCAAGGCCTCGCTTCTGAGCAATGAAGGCTGGAGGTGCTCACTGACCCTCACAAACACCCAACAGGTGTTGCCGGCCCTCACTAGCAGCCCAAGGAGGCTGGGTCTTCCATTCTTAAAAAAAAACAAAAAGAGAGCTAGCTTTTTAAATTTTTTTAATTCATACATTTTTTTCTTTCATGGTATTTTTCTTTTTCTTTTCATTTTTTATGTTTTATTTTTTTGAAATTTTCAAAATTATTTTTTGATTTGGCGTCGCGTTAGCACTAGGCATCTTAATCAAGTAAAAAAAATGACGCGTTAGCATTTTCTGTTAATCAAATTGGACGGAGTTAACAAAGAGACTTGATTGCACTTCATGAAAGTTTTAGAACTTGATTGCACTTTGACTCAAGTTTTAAGACTTCTTGTGCACTTATCCCAAAAGGAAAAAGAAAAGAAAAGAAAAGAAAAGAGAACATTTATAAAATTTCTTAAAACAACGTCGTTTTGGGTGGTGTCGTATGTGTTGGATTGCCGACTGTGCCATGTAGGATGGCTAGCACTGACTAGACTGCTACGTCAGCGATTTCCGACCTAAATTGGCTGAGCGGACAATGTTGGAAAATCGTCAAAATGTTTAGGAATACATTGTCTAGATTGGAAAGTTTAGGATTGAATTAGTATTCGTACAATATATTAATGACTTTTTCAATTATTTCACCGTCATTAATATCAAACTAGTGAAATATTGATGGCTTTTAACGTCTTAATGAGAAAATTTTATCTAAAATTAAAAGGAGCGTGAGATGTTTTGATGTTACAATAAAGATTCAATGAGATATATCTTAAAGTGTGATGCATACAATACTTTGAATTTGTTGATGTTGTAAAAATATATTTTGGGATAGTAATAACTACTAAACAAAAAATATTGAAATATTAAAAAGTCACCAAAATGCAAATAAATAACCAAAAGAATGTGGTGTGTTTATGCATTCTGTTGGATATAGTGAGTGTGTTGATTGGTATTGTCTCGAACAATATTCATCAAAATTGCCTTATATTTTTCTCAATGAGCCCAAATGCATAATTATTTATCCGATTTTTAGGTAAGTGAACCTATGACGAAAATTAACAATATGAAGTCTTAATTTTGATTATGAAATGTAGCTAGGTTGATTAGATGCTAATTCAATATGTATTTAGGTAATTTTTTCTTGGTGATATAACAGGCAGGCACATATTCTTTGTTTAATAACTTTTTGATATCATAAGTATATTTTCTTTGCCCACTATATACAAGGAACAAATGCTTACGACTTTGGAAGTTTTCCACCCATAATATAGCAAAAATGCAACCAGAGAGTGTACTTATAATATAAGTCATGTCATAAGTTCGGGAAGATCAACGAGTCTTCCACCTGGAGACATCGAAATGCACTACAAAAAAAGTTGGTTTTAGCCACGAATTTTGCCACGAAAAATTTGGCAAAATTCGTCGCTAAACGAATTTGCGACGAAATTAGCGACGGAAAAAAATTCGTCGCTAATAGGCCGTCGCAAAATTTTGCGACGAAAAATTTCAATTTTCGTCGCTAATTTGCGACGAAAAAAATTCGTTGCAAAATTCGTCGCTAATTATTCGTGGCAAAATTCGTGGCTAATTTGCCACGAAACAAAATTCGTCGCAAAATTCGTCGCAAATTATTCGTGGCAAAATTCGTCGCTAATTTGCCACGAACTTTATTCGTGGCAAAATTCGTCGCTAATTTGCCACGAAATATATTCGTGGCAAAATTCGTCGCTAATTTGCCACGAACTTTATTCGTGGCAAATTATTCGTGGCAAAATTCGTCGCTAAATATTCGTGGCAAAATTCGTCGCTAATTTGCCACAAACTATATTCGTGGCAAAATTCGTCGCTATTTTTTTCAAAATTTTTTTTTGTTGGTCACGAAATTGCGACGAAATATTTTCGTAGCAAAAATCGTTGCTAATTATTCATGGCAAAATTTATCGCTAATTTGCGACGAACACATTTCGTGGCAAAATTCGTGACTAATTTGCCACCAAATTTTTTTTTTGTCAGTTTTTTGCGACTAACTTATTCGTGGCAAAATTCGTGGGTAATTTAAATTACCCACCAAAATGAATGTATTTCATTTTCTTATTCGATTTTAAATGTAATTTAAAGCAAAATTAATTTCTAGAATTTGTATTTAACATTGATTAAGCACTTAAGAACATCAAAATATTATAATAATATGAAAATGAAATACATTCATCTACATTTTCCATGTACTTGAACATATAGCTCAATGTGATCAAACTATTATAATAATATGAAAATGAAATACATTCATTTACATTTTCCATGTACTTGAACATATAGCTCAATGTACTTGAACATCCTTGGCAAATCTCCCCCTCCGCATATCAACACATAGCTCAATGTACTTGAACATAATCCTCTCAAGGGTATTTTGCCATGCTCAGGATCTCTTTGAGGTAATAAGATCATGAAGTTCTTGCAGAGCATCTTGCTTCTTCTAGGATCCATGCAGAGCATTTTCTGGAATCCAGCAATTGCATCAGTGATAAGAATGCTGGATTGGCAACTTAATATCACTTCATACATTTCATTACATTGGTTCAGGGCACCAAAGGAGACATGATCTCGACCCTTATCTACAATTTTCAGTAGAGGATAGTCCAATACCAGTTTTTATAGGTTCACTGATAGCAAAACATACAATAAGGTCAACAGTGTAAAGATCACTCGCCTATCAAGGAATGCAATCAGACATCCATGAAGATATTTTTAACCCATCTTTGCAAACGCAGGGTGTAGTCCACTGTGAATAAGTCTAATGCATTAGCCATTTAATGGGGAAAAGACAAAGACAAGAAGTGTCGGGGTATCTGAGCAATATAATGCATAAAAAAATCCTAGAGGATGGATCAGTAAAAACTTCCGGCTGTCTCTCACCTTAAGCTCTTCACAAATGTCCAGTATTCTAGTCATGCAGTCTGGATCAAGACCCGCAGCATCAACAAACCCCCTCAACACAAGAATCGGGTTAACATGCCAGAGGTAAAGGATCATGCCGACACCCCCAGCATTTTTCATTATCATGGGAAACACGGCAAGGGAGACTTCAGACTGCAGGAGATTATATACAGTCTACAAGCACAGGAATACATAGATTCAAATTCAGGATGATTATATCAAGACAAACGATGAAAAGTGTCAATGCATTTCCAATTGCATACATTAATATGTGCCATTGCAAGAAGCAAGACTTCTGGACAGTATTTGAGAGGGTATTCAAGTATTGCGCGAACAGATCCAGCGTAACCAGCCTCAGCAATTTGACACAACACATCTAAGAGGTCAAGGCACAACCAAGCATGATTTGCATGTCCAAGCTGGAGCTTATGACCATATATCGCATCAACATAAGCCTACACAGAATTTTACCATATAATTAGAACCAAATAAACAATAAAGGGAAGGATTACAAGTTCTATAGCACATACCAGCTGCCTCGCAGAATGAGCAAAGGTAAATGCTTCGGGAGGAGCTGACACAGCATATTTTAAGAATGATATCTGGCCCTCAATATTCTTCCAGACAGACCCACATATGGCCTTGAGAGGAAAAGGATCCTGCACAACCCAAGTTCAAGATTCCATAAACTTCAGCAGATAAGTTGCTAGGGCTCATAATAGAACTTCATGTTCAGGCAAAACAATTTCCAAAAACTAGACAAGACATGCAAACACACCTGACAAGCACATCGATAAACAGACATGAAGAAAGAAAATGCTTCCTCATTAGGCAAGTAGAATCCTTCATGATCCAGGCTTTCAATTACTGATAACCAATTGATTCCAGGCGCCTGTATTCAAAGAATTGCTTCTAAAAGTGTACTATACGCATACCATTAAAGCCAAAGATTGAATCAGAAATGTCAAACTCACAAGCTGCTTGATTGAATCTACGAGAATATCAATGTTCCAAGAGCTTGGAGACGGAAGATCAGACCAACTGCTGTTGCCAAGTGCCACAGCAAAACTCGAAGCTGTGCTGTGATTATCTTCGAGACCAACATGAGTACGGGCAATAGTACCTTCCATCTCAGAAAAAAAAAGAATACTTGAATAAGCCAATGCACGCTTAAACAGATTATAGGAGAGATCAACACAAGAGAAATTTAATTATTCGGGAGAGTTCAGATTGCTGAACAAACGAGCAAGTACCCATCAAAGAATATCCACACTTTAGCGAAATCGATAGCATAATAGAATGAAACATTTTCCCTGCCCATCGCCATTAAATAGCCAACCAGAGAAAACATCCAAGCTATATAGATGACTACGGCCACGAAACCGTCACAGCCTAACTATAGCAGGAGAAAAGAGCCACATCATGAGCGATCACTATGTAATGTACTTCTCATCTAAGCTATATAGATGTCTCAACCCCAGCAGCGTCTCGACAGGCACTCATCGCGCTCATGCGTAGCAAGCAACAAATCACGACACTGTCCAAGAAAAATCAAAAGCCCTTACCTATCGCTCCACTCTTCTCCTCCTTCTCTTCCTCCGCATCCTTCATCTCCACCTCCTGCACCTTCTTCTCTTCCTCCACCTTCTTAGCCGCCGCCGCCGCCTTCTTAGCCCTCTCCCGCTCCCTCTCCTTCTCCCTCTCGACCTACCTCAGCTTCTGCTTCTCCCTCACCGCCCTCAACACCGCCGCGACGTCCCTCTCCGCCGCCTCATGCGCGAGGAAATCGCTCCGCTCGGCCACGAACTTGAGGCCTCCTCGATGAACCCCAGTGGCCTGGACGGATCGAACCTCGCGATGAACTCCGCCGCGGCAGAGGAGGAGGCCGAGGACGAGGCCGAGGGCTTGGCCCCAGGTTGCTTCTCCTCTTCCTCCTCGAAGTCGGAGATGATCGCCATGGACGGTGAGCTCCGGGAGGGATCGAATCGGAGATTGCTCTTCTCTGGCTCGATTTCCTCTAGGGCTCCGGAGGCCACGGGCGAGGAGGAGTCGCGGGAGGAAGTGCGGGGGGAAGGGGATACCTAAAACCCTAGCGAGCGCGAGAGGTCTGGGAGTGTGGGGGGTGCGGGGGAGAGGGAAGAAATTTGCTACGGATTTTAGCCACGAATTTTAAAAAATGCCCATACACATGCCTACGTTCATTTTTTTATGAAATTCGTGACTAAAATTCGTAGCAAATTTGCCACGGATTTTAGCCACGAATTTCATAAAATGCCAAAAATTCATTTTTATGAAATTCGTGGCTAAAATCCGTGACAAAATTTGTCACGGATTTTAGCCACGAATTTTAAAAAATGCCCATACACATGCCTACGTTCATTTTTTTATGAAATTCGTGGCTAAAATCCGTAGCAAATTTGCCACGGATTTTAGCCACGAATTTCATAAAATATCAAAAATTCACATTTTATGAAATTCGTGGCTAAAATCCGTGGCAAATTTGCCACGGATTTCATGAAAAATTACTTAGGCATGTTTGTGGCCATTTTTTTAAAATTCGTGGCAAAATCCGTGGCAAATTTGCCGCGGAGTTTACCACGAATTTCATAAAAAATGAATTGTGGGCAATTTTTTTATGAAATTCATTGATAAATCCGTCGCAAATTTGCCACGGATTTAGCCACGAATTTCATTTCTACTAGCCCACACACGCCTAATTCATTTTTTTCCCGACAATAACGTTTAATTAACAATAATAATAATAATAATAATAATAATAACAACAACAACAACAATACTAATAATTACGACAACAACAACAATAATAAATATGACAACAACAATAAACTCTTGTCATAATAATAATAATAATAATAATTACGACATAATTAGTAAAAAATCTCAAAAATCTAAATCTTCATCTTCACCTTCGTCTTGATCTTGATCTTGATCTTGATCTTCTTCTTGAGCATCATCGTCGTCATCATCGTCATCATCATTATCATCATCATCCTCATCATCCTCATCATCCTCTGTCTCAAAATCAGATTCTGCAACACCTTCTAAATTTGATTCGCGAATTTCGGTTAGATCTATATCTATCATTGCTCCACATGGATCTCGTAGAGTAGGAATGTAATATTCCTCGGTTTGAACCGCGTTACAAACTTCCTCTTGTTGATATGCTGTATCCTTCCAGTGTTCCTCGATTTTTCTTCATGCTTTGATTTTACATACAGCCCACTAATCAGCTTTGTCAGGTTTCAAACTAGGATATGATGCATAATATACTTGAATTGCTTGTTGTGCCAACACAAATGGTTCATATTTCATATACCTTTTCTTGAGATTTATTTTAACCAAATTAAATTTCGTATGCACCTTCATTCCTTTGACGGGGTCGAACCATATGCACTTAAATAACACAACCCGCATTAATGGTCCGGGGTACTCTATCTCGATGATTTCATCCAACAAGCCATAAAAATCATCTTTTGAATTACCACAATTGGATGACCGATCACACACACCACTATTCATTGTGGCTTTTCCTATTCCATATTCTTGAGTGTGAAAATTATACCCATTTATGAAATATGCTGGCCAAGTTCGTATGCTCGACTGTGGACCTCATGACAGATAATATAACAATCATTGCTCTTCAACTTGATCATGATTACTGTGAACCTAATATCACACACGCAAAGTCAATAATATATATTTAAATGATGTATAAAATATTAATAACTTGGTTTTGGTCTATAGACAACTTACATATGTTTTGAACCATGCTGCAAATTGTTTATCGCATAAACGGTCAAACTCATTTGGTGGTAGTCCATATATTGAATTTTGAAAAATCCTATTAACAATTTACATTTATATATTAGTAAATATTTGACACGCAATACATATATTTGCAAATATACACTTATTGGAAGTATGGCTCCACTTCTTGACAATTCAGTAAAATATATGTATGGGCTGCCTGTTGTTCTTCGCCTGTTAAGCTTACATGCGCCGCTTGGTCGATCGAGATAATTGAAAATAGAGAATGATTTGCAATTGGGATCGATGGGACCCTCATCATTTCTTCCTGCTCTCCGCCTCTTGCACTGCACGTGCGGCTCAAAATAGTATGATGTAAATGTTGTCACTTCTTCCACAATATATGCGTTACAAATTGAAGCTTCAACACATGCCTTATTCTTCACTTTTTTCTTCAAATGATATAAGAACCTTGTTGCAATAGAAAGAAGTTTATCAGAACATAATAAATAATAAAGTATTTTGAAATTTATTTTGAAAATTTTTTTATCTCTTAAATGGATACATCCATCGAAATTGGACGGGACCTGCAACTTTGGCCTCATAAGGCAAGTGAACTAAGAGATGCTCCATTGAATCAAAAAACGATGGAGGAAATATCCTTTCTAAATTGCAAAGAATAATTAGAATGTCTTTCTCCAGTTTCTCCATGTGTGATGCTTTTAACACTGTTGAGCAAATATCATGAAGGAAATTACGTCGCAAAATTAGCGACGAAAAAAAATCCGTCGCTAACTCCGTCGCAAATTAGCAACGAATAATTTTTCGTCGCAAATTCCGTTGCAAATTAGTGACGGATTTTTTTCGTGGCAAATTCCGTCGCAAATTAGCGACGATATTTTTTTTCGTCGCAAATTAGCAACGGAAAAAGAATTCGTCGCAAATTTGCCACGAATTTTTTTTCATGGCAAATTCCGTCGCAAATTAGCCACAATTTTTTTTTCGTGGCAAATTCCGTCGCAAATTAGCGACGACATTTTTTTTCGTCGCAAATTAGCAACGGAAAAAAATTCGTCGCTAATTCCGTCGCAAATTAGCCACGGATTTTTTTTCGTGGCAAATTCTGTCGCAAATTTGCCATGGATTTTTTTTTGTCGCAAATTAGCCACGAAAAATTATTCGTCGCTAATTTCCGTGGCTAAATCCTTGTTTTTTTGTAGTGATGGTCAACCCACTCATTAAGCACCGAGGCACCCATTGGTTCGATCTCTCAAGATGCTGTTTGGTTTTATCAAGTGCAATTGCTTTTCAGAAGATACAATATTGAGTGTGCACAATGAGTATTGACATGTTGACAAGAGTCCTTGATGTTGATCTACTCTACTTGGTAAAACTCCAATTAATTCATGACGAGAGGATGACCTAATCAACTCTTGTTTTTGACAGAATTACTAGTTGTATTTGTAGAAAAACTAATTCCACTCAGATTATATTGACAAGAGGATAATCTGATCAATTCTCGATTAGACAAAATGTGTACATTATGTCTGTTAATTTTCACTATGGAAGGGATGGCAAAAAGAATTGTCTACCTAGCTGACAAACACAAATGCCTACCTTACTCAGTATCAAACATGTCGAATTTTCATATACTCCATCAAATATTTCGAATTTCGAGACCCATATCCTGTCGAGATGTAACTTCTTGCAATCATGTATCCGCAAAGATTTTAGTTTCTTGAAACTCGAAGCTGGATCAACCACCTCATCTAAAGATCTGCATCCTTTTATGCACAAGTCTTCCAATGATTCCAATCTTCCTTGAATCTTCACAAGATTGTGACATCGGCGTAGGTCAAGTTGTGTAAGCTTCTTCAAGTTTGATAAATTGGGCAATCTCTCAAGTAGAGGAAGTTCTCCTAGCTTTAACATCATCAAATTCTCCAAACCCGCAAAGCTTTTTATTTCAGTTAGTCCACAACAATACCGCAAGTGAAGTTCAGTGAGCTTCTTCAAGTTTGATGAATCAGGAAATCTCTTCAACAGCGGAATTTCTATGAGCTTCAAAGTTCTGAGATTCCCCAAGCTTTCAATGCTTTGGACGTCCATTAGATTGTGGCAGTGCCCCAAATGCAGTTCATTGAGCTTCTTCACGTTGAATAGATCGGGTAATCTCTTTAGTAGCGGAATTTTTATGAGCTTCAAAATTCTGAGACTCGCCAAGCCTTCAATGCTTTGAACATCAATTAAATTAGGGCAATGCACCAAATGCAGAATGACTATGTTCATCATAGAAAAATTGGTGATCTGAACTTCTATGGGAAAATGATGCCACGAAAGCGATCTCAACTTGGAAAGCACAAGCGTATTGTTTTGTAGATTGGCTGGGAAATCATTTGAAGGCCAGTTATGCTGGAAAATCCTCACTTCAGGGTATCTTTGATTAGATAGCCTCTCAACTTCTTCATTGGCAAAATAGTAGAGCAACTGAGGATCAAATTTTCGACAAAGAGCTTCAATTTTTTTGGTTCCCTGCGATAGTAAAACAAAAGGGCAAGTATATTATATTGAACAAGTATAATCGTCTTTCCGAACATGAAAGATAAATCTAAGCATTTGTATAACCAAAAAACAAGTTGTAACAGTAATAATGAGATAATAAACTAACTTCCCTTAAATATTATTGAGGAAACAATCACAGTGAAAAGGCATGAAATTGTCAGCTTGATGGGGATAAAGTTATTGAAATGCAAATTTACCTTCTTTTCCATCACCACGTCCAAACCTTCCTCATGGTTCCCCAACCGAGTCTGTTTTTTTCGTTCCTCATCACATTCTCGAAGAACAATGTTTCTACCAAGGCCTCTTAGCTGATCATGCATCCATAGCTCATTGTCTTTGCCGATTTTTATCAGAGACATTTTCTGAAGGACCTCAAGATCTACCTCTGGGAAGAGATTGGAATTTTTCCACGAGTGGAGTGCTATCCTTTGATCAGATCCAGCGAAAAGACAAGCTATATCAAGAAAGATATGCTTTTGCCAATCATCCAAGACATCATAACTTATTTTCAACTTTCGTTTTACTTCTTTGAGAGGAACTTGTTTCAACTTCTTTAATATCGCATCCCAATGATCTTTGCTTCTGCACGGAAGTAGTTTACCTATAGCCTCAAGAGCAAGAGGAAGACCTCCTGTACTTTTGACTACTTCTGTGGAGAAAGCAACATAGTCATCCGAAGGGTAATCTCTTCCAAAAGCATGTTTGCAAAAAAGTTGAAGCGATTGATCAAAGTCCATGCTCTTAAGCTCATATGGATAACAAAACTCAAGAACATCGACAATATCCCTGTTTCTACTAGTTATGATAATCCTACTTCCTAAACCGAGCAATGCAGGATTTCCTATTAGTGCATCCCACTGAGTCATTTGATCAACATCATCAAGTAGCACCAGAACCTTTTTATCGCGTAACCCATTTTTTATTATCTTCATTCCTTCCTCAACATTGCTAATGTTCAACAGCTGTGCTTTGAGAACATCAGAGATTAGTTGTTTCTGCAAACCTTTTATACCCTTTAGCTCTGACGTTTCCCTGATATTAGAAATGAAGCAACAAGCTTCAAAATGATGTGATAACCGATTGTAGATGATCTTGGCAAGAGTAGTCTTTCCTACACCCCCCATACCATGGATTCCGAGAATCCTTATATCCTCCGAATCACCACACATCATTGTATCGATTTCCTTAACATGATTTTCAAATCCGACCAAGCAGTCTATCACCAGCAGATGAGCTGTTTTCAACTCACCTATCACCTTCCGGACAATCTCGTCCGTCAGTTCTCCTTCACCTCTAATATAATGGAAGGAAAAGGGAAAACATAATTAGAAGAACAAGTTAATATTATGGAAACATTGCGCCAAAATGATAACGCAGAAAATGACATACCTGTCCTTCTTCGAATTGTCCCATCCATTTAGATTGGCAACATGGCGGAGAGCAGCTTTCCACTTATTGACGTTCTCGCCAAATTTCCTTTTATGCGAAAGAAAGGCTTCTTCATAAGACCCAATTTGATGACGGACCTCCGCCGGAGTAACGCCATAAAAAATGGGCATAACCTTCTGTCTGCTTGTTTTACTACACTCCACCATTTGGACCAACTCATCAAGACACCATTTACTAGAGGCGTAGCCCTTGGAAAAGATGGGAATTGCAATTTTTGATTGGCTGATAGCTTTGAGCAACTCAGGACCAAACTCCTCTCCAACTCGGAGCTCTTCATCGTCCTTGAACGTGTGGATTCTAGCACCTAACAACCGGGTATAGAGGACATTTGTAATGCCTGAGCGAGTATCTGGCCCCCTAAAACTCAGGAAAACATCGTAGTCATATCCAAATGACATGGAGGTTGATGATGGTGAGCCGTCCTGCTGGTATAGTTTTTCCTGTTTCGGCAGCATCATATCAGGGAATTGCGCTGAGTTGGAGACACCTGCAGCAGCAGCTAATACACTGCCATTATTGACAGCCGATGAGGATGCTGAGTCACTGACAGAAGTTACCTCCATGTTTGTTTCTGTCACAGCTGCTATTCCTTCCCACCTCACAGATTCTGTGTTCTCACCTGTTTTATAAAAAACGTTGAGCAATAATGGCCATAAAGAGAATTCAGGCAATTGCAGAATGCGAAGGTGAAGAAAATGAACCTGTGAGATCGGACAGTGAGTATGACTGACCATTCCCTTCCACATTCGTGCCATATTGCTGATCCAACTCAATACTTGGTGAAGTGTAGGGTGATTTTGTGGCTAATTCAAAACTTCCAAAAGATCCCTCAAGAGCTGAATGAATTGGACTTTTTGAAAGCAAAGGTGACATTGGCGGAGTTCCTGAAACAAGCAAGTTAGAAGAAGCGGCGTGACGAAGAAGATCGAATGAGACTTTTTTGACATTGCTCAATGATCATTACGTGCGTAAGATTTCCGTGGTAAGACAGTATTCAAACACTGCATCCACATCCAAATATGTCAATCATTATGTGCATAAGATTTCCGTACAAATATAGATGAAGCTAACAGGAGACATCTATCATCAAGTGTGTCCTTCCATTGGGCTCTGTATAAACTTGACAGACTATGAAATGAATCTACTTCTTGAGGTAAAATGAAGTATTCATGCAAGATAGCTTCCAAATTACGTCTGATGACTTGCTACGCTGTCAAAAGTTGTTTAGAAACTAAACCGAAGAAATAAGCTCATAAACTTCCAGAAAAGAGTGACTAGGAAAGGTTCTTGTAAGTATGAAACCTATGTATAGCAAATCATTTCCATAGACGTGCAGCGTGATTGATATTTCCAGAGAAATGATGAATCAACTAATGAAATGATCCCCTGAACTAGAAGGATAAGCACCTCATGAGAATCTTCTGCAGATAAACCTATTGAATGCTTATGACCTTTCACCGGCAAGTTCATTTGGGCATGGAGAAATATGCAATATATGACTAGACAGTGGCACCCGCAAGAGCCTCTGTGATTAATAAGGAAGCAATCACAGAAAGTCATGAGAATCTTCTGCAGATAAACCTATTGAATGCTTATGACCTTTCACCGGCAAGTTCATTTGGGCATGGAGAAATATGCAATATATGACTAGACAGTGGCACCCGCAAGAGCCTTTGTGATTAATAAGGAAGCAATCACAGAAAGTGCTTGTAGCTAATTAGCTCCATCGAAGAATACTTCTTTCTACTTCTAGGCTTTCCAGCCTTTCAAAACAAATAGCATCCATTTGTATCTTAAAAAGTCTTGGTGAATGGTTCATGCGCCTTCTTAAGTTAACCATCCATTTGATGAATGGTTAAGAATCTTAACCAAGTGAAGCGGGCCCATTGAGAAGAGACCCTCCCCCCTCTCTCTACCCGTTTACGATGTGGGCCTTTCTTATCCTGCTGAAAAAGCTTCCAAGACAGCTAGTATTTCAAGGCTATGGTCTTTAAGGCTGAGCACCGGACTGACCTACTCTAATTTCGGATTAATCTCCATAGTCTGATAGCTTAGCAATCATTAATTATTTACGGGTCTTCGTCTCCTCAATGAGGCTTGAACTGAAGTCTTCTTATCAAAGTTGAGCCCCAATTGTTAAAGCTGGAGCTCAAATCTCGCAGCTCCAACTCTAGCAATGAGTTGGCGGGGGACAGCGTCAAATTGGAGGCTTGGGGGCTGGAGAATTTTTATGAAAAGGTATACATGTAATATCTATCTTAGCTTTGTAGGCCCTGGACTACTATTAATATTGGTGCGATCTCTCGTGTAAAAATTCTTGTATCTTCTTCTCCGATTTCTCTTTTAAGTTTCTCGTTCCTTATAACCGGTAGAAGAGCCTTGATTCAACAGAATAGTGGAAGCGACAAAGATGTACGAAAGGGATGTAAAGATTCATCGATTCATTAGCTAGGATTTTGGATACCATAAGATGTAGATCAAGGATCTGCAGTATTAGAGGAACCCGTATCAGCCTCTATCGGGAGATAAACGATGAAGCAAGAAGACCAGGAATTGTTAGATCGGCCCTAAGCATGATTCATCTCACATGGACTAGAACGTTGCCTTCAACCTTGCCAACGAGAAGATGAACATGGATATGATAGGGGCTTCATCCAACATGCACGAGAATCCCTTTGCATCAAACGAGGTATATCCGGTACTTCGTCGGTTCAATATGAAGCTGGACGAACGTGGTTCGATGACAGATCACATCAACAAATCCAATGTGTTTACAACTCAGTTGAGTTAGATGGAAATGAACTTCAATAACAACGCAAAAGCTTTCATTTTGTTATTTTTCTACCTAAAAGTTGGAGCCCAACTGTGTTTGCGGTGAGTAGTTTTTCTAGTCAAAGCTTCAGGAGATCCAAAATTTAATTCTCATCGAAGACAATCGTAAAAATAGACAGGTGAATCTTTGACCACTGCCTTGTGTACTAAAGGTAGAGGGAGAAGCTTTCAACGAGATTAAAACCACAATCATGATAGATTGAAGTCTAGAGAGGAAGTAAATCCAGATCTCATGGTGCTAGAATTGCGAAAAGAAGGGACCTTAAATAAGATTGCAAAACTCCAAAGAAGAAGAAAAATCAGAATCGGGTTGCGAATCAAGAGGAGTAATCTGTGAATGCAACTATTGAACAGACGTTTGTCCAAGATGTCCTAATTTTGAGAGTTGACAGTCCAATTGAGTCTTAGATTCTAGACTGAGAGACTGAGGGGTGTCATTTTACTCAACTCCGTGCGAAGAATTAATCCAAAATTTTGTTGTAGAAGAGTTTGGAAAGGTCTATCTTGCTGAGGATGAACCTTTGACTATTCTAGGGAAGGATGAGATTCCCATAAAGACTACCAATAGTTCTTAATGGAAGTTGCATGATTTCATATATGTTCCTAGCCTTATGAGAAATTTGATGTCCACAGGTCAATTAGACAACACAAGATACAGACCTACTTTTCTAGATGGCTCATGGAAGATTGTTGAAAATATGGTTGCAGCATAGGGAACAAAATTGGAAACACTGTACATGACCAAAAGCAAAAGATAAATAATAGCAATTACTAACTCAGAAGCTGATTCCAAACTATAGCACCATAGGGGTGGACACACGAGGAAAAAGGGATAGGGGTGTTAGCATCAAATGGAAAATTTGCTAATTTCGAGTTCGTAAATATTGATCTATGTTAGGATTACGTTCTGGGTAAGTAGGAACATGTTAGCATTTTTGAAGACCGGAAGAGAATCAAAGAAAGGAAAGTTAGAGTTGATGCATACAAATGTCTAGGGGCCAGTTTATGCATTCCCTTAGAGGCTTACAGTACTACGTCACATTCATTGACGACTCCACCAGGAAACTATGAGCTTATTTTCTGAAAAATATATCTGTTGTGTTTACTACTCTTAAGACGTGAAAAGCTGAAGTGGAGAATGAGACCAGTTTAAAATTAAATGTCTAAAGTGACAATGGTGGTGTGTATGATAACAGGGTGTTCAAGAAGTTTTGTACATAGAATGAAATCATGATAACTAGAACAGTTCCCAACGGGTTATGGCAAAACAGAGCTGAGAAAATGAACTAAACTCTACATGAGAATGCAAGAAATATGAGGATACATGTTGAGCAGATGCAGTTAACACGGCAGCATCCTGATCAATATAGGACCTTCGGTTCCACTATATTTCAAGCTACTAGAAAAAGAATGGACTGGAAAGAAAGTAAATCTCTAGCATCTGAAACTTTTTGGTTCTATTTAATAAGTGCACATTGATTCTGAAAATGTAGACAAGCTCGATGCAAAGGTCAAAAAATGTTTTATCGTTGGATATGGTTCTGATTATTTTGGCTATCGGTATTTGGAACTAATGATGTTACATTCAATGAAAACATGATGTACAATGACAAATCTGTGGTAGAATCTAGTGTGAGGAAACAAACAGAGGAGACCAGAAAGATTCAATTGAGGGGGTTTCTAAGAATATTCTGGTTAAGAATTATGAAATTGTTTGTTGTAGACTCTGATCAAGAATCAGAACAAGAACCACCTTCATCTGAACCCACTTTAAGAAGACTTAGTAGAACTTTTAAACTTGTACAGAGGTATTCTCCATAATTGCACATTGTTTTTTACTACAAACCGGAATACTATTGAAAAGCAATGTAGGTTAAAGATTCTGTCAAGTGGGAGTTGGCAATGAAGGTTAGAATATCTTTCACCAGCTATGGATTGTTAGGTAATGCATGTGTTGACTTTCTGAATGAGCTCTACTTTTCAATAGGTAACTCCCAGCGGTCACAGAAGTTGTGGCCTGTGGTACAATTTAATCGTTGCCTGGTACATGAGTTTCCGCTGACTGATACTAGAAGTGGACTCATAATTGGCAGACAAAGTTAATCAAAAATGATTGCAAGGGTACATGAAAAAATTTATTAGGCCGGCAATGCTTATGCCAGGTGGCTTGCTAATCAGCGTTTGTTGATAGGAGGCAATGAGTTCAGCTCAGTAGACCTCCAGTCAGATATTACTCTGCTTCTGCAGGAAACAGGCTGTTTCTTATCCTAGTCTATGACATCCATCCTTGATTTTTGTGGCCCTAGAGCCCCATTTCACCGCCCCCCCCCCCAAAAAAAAAAAAATACTAATGCTTTTGCAAAATTACTATGGTAACAGTATGCCACCAATGCTTTAGCAGAAGCATATCAGTAACCTAAACTGTTTGTTGCCAAACGAAACAGGCTTCCTGTTAATTCTCCCATTGTTGAAGTACCTTTGTCCCAAGAGAAGGTAAATCGTAGTATACAAAAGTAGAGGCAATTAATACCAGCTCAATGAATCCAGAACACTAAAGCTAAAGAAAGTAGGTAGAAAACAGTACCCTGCCAATGTTGCACTCTCAATCAAGAGACCAATATTGAATATTTAAAAAACTTACCATAAACTCTTTCAGAAACTTCCAGAACCCCATCTGGTGGTTTCCTGCAAAAAGTATCTACTGGGTGAGGTCCATCGTTCACCGAGATTAAATCAAATTTCTTTAAGTCAAGCATCTTGAAAGAGCTAGAGTAGCACCCACATCGTGAAGGGAAATCCAGAAGTCATCCCAGTTCGATCTATCCAAGATGATTGACACAATTTTTTTTTTTTTGTGGATTGTTACACGTACCTTTGGGCTAGGGGAAGCTTTGTGTCATTGATTCATTTATTTTGGGTGGAGCCTTCTCTTATTGCATGAAAGATTGTTCGTAGGTAGTTACCCTCACTAGTTCTTCCTACTATACAAGTAACCAATGGCCTGAAACTCCTTACTGTTCTTAATTGCATCAAAGATGCGAAACTCGCATGTTTCTATCCCTCCTTCCCCGCTCCTCTTCTTTAGTTTGATATTGACTTCCTCAGCAATTAACTTGTCTATGGCAAACGTGGAAAAGATTAAATTGATCTTATTTTGCTAAACGCAGTCGTGATGTATTAAGGCAACGAAGCTTTTCTGCCAGTCTCTAAATCAACTCACCGAGTATAGATATCATTGTTCACCTCCCTGAATTGGTTGAGCTGCGAGTCCCTGTCTACCTGTGCACTAGGAATAAGCCCAGAAGATGTATCCTTGGTCCCTTCGCTGACCTTGTCGGGCAGTGAGTCCCCATCTCGCTGTCCCCCAGGGCTACACAGCTCCTCGATCTTCCTCCGTACTTCAGACATCTGAGGGCGCTCATGCGAATTCGGGGATACACAATGGATCGCCACCCCGAAGAGCTCAATCATCTCCTTAATGAAACTCCCGAGCGCCTCATCAAAAATTCCAGTAATGGACTCCTCATCAGGCAAGGACTGGACCCACCAAGCAAGATCTGCACCTTTCTTAATTGGGAGCTGGGTGGGAAGCTTCCCGGTCAGGAGCTCCAGAAGTAACAACCCGAACTTGTACACATCCGCCATTGTTGAGTCGGCCGCACCCACCAGGGCAGAACTTCTGAGGGGGGCGATGCCGTAATCGGAGACCCGGACCTCGTAGGACGGCGTGAGGAGGACGTTGGATGACTTGATTCTCCCGTGGAGGATATTGGGACGACGTTGGGCGTGTAGGTGCTCGATGGCCCGGGCAGCTCCGAGGGCAATCGAAAGCCTGACTTCCCAGCTCAGGGGAGTCCTTCCGGATCCTCTGGATCCATGCAATTGGCTCGACAGGCTTCCCAGGGGCATGTAATCGTAAAAGAGCAACTTCTCTTCTTTGCTGTAGTAGTAACCCCTCAGAGGGACCAGGTTCTCATGGTCCATCGCTGCGAGAGCTACGACCTTGTCCCGGAAATCCTCGGCCGACAAGACCACATGGTTGAGCCTCTTCACGACCACCGTGGTCCCATCGTCCAGGTGTGCCTTGTAAGTCGTCCCGACCGTCCCTCTCCCCAATACCTCCGCACTGGCCCTAAAAAGATCCTCAAGATCGAACCACTTCGCGGGGTTCGCCAACAACACCAGCACTTTTCTTTCTGGCTTAGGCTCTTGCGGCTTGTTCCGTGTCGCACTTTCTTGCGGAGCCCTAAGAAGATCCTTAAGATCCAACCACTTGTTGGGGTTCCCCGACAACCCCAGTGCACTTTCTTCCGGCTCAGGCTCTTGCGGCTTGTTCTGGGTCTCATTTTTCTCCGATATTGATTTACTGCTGCTCTTCCTGTTGCGAATCCTTCGCCACAGGTTGTCCATCGCGTTACTTCTTATTTAATGAAGGCAAATTGCAAAGCACACGTTTGATTTGGCTCTGGATTCACCACCCAAGCGCAATAGCTCTCTTCATTCTTCTTCCCCGCTTTTTGGTTTGGTTCTCCTTCTTGTCATTTGATCTTCCCATTTTCTTCATTTATTGTCGGGAGTTCAACGGCAAAGTGCTACCACAAGTCAACGTCCATTACTTGGGCACGAAGATAGAGGAGTAATGCGAAAACAAAATTTAGGATACTTTGTTTCGCTGTAAACTTTGTATATTTTATAAAAGGTTTATATTACGAAAAATTTCAAATCGGTAAACTTATGATAATTTTATCCTAAATTAATTTTTTAATTATCAAAAACCTCAAACTGGTACATATGTGATAAATTTAACCTCCTCTAGTTTTCGTTAAATTTTACTGTCAAATTACTAAGTTTGATGACATATGATAATTGACGGATGTACCAGTTTGGGGTTTTACCATTCTGTTTATCATAGATTTACCAATTTGTGATTTTTCGTGGTGCTGAACCAATTTAACGGAAAGTAAATTTGTCACAAATATATCAATTTAGAGTAGTTTGGGAGTAAATTTATCACATGTGTACCAGTTTGGAATTTTTGGTTGTCAAAAAATTAGTTCGGGGTAAAATTGTCATAGTTGTACCAGATTGGAGTTTTTCATGGTATTAACCCTTTATAAAAATCATTTTTAAGGAAAATTTTTAGCTTCATTTGTTTGGTTGTTTAGGTCCAAATGGGGAAATCGTTTTCCCCTTATATAAGCTTGTTGTTTTACGTTGGAAAAAAAAGGAAAAATTACTAAACAATCATAAACTTATCGCAATTGTACCAATTCAGTCATAAAACCTTTTTTATGTGATCAATTCAATCCTAAATCTTCTGCATTTGTGCTAATTCAACCCATCCGCCCAATTTTGGCCGAGTGGCACTGACATGGACGCTGGATATCTGACCGACGCTGACGTGACAATTTTTTAATTTTTTTAAAAAAATTCAATTTATTATTATTATTATTATTCCTTTTTTTTTCTTCCCTTCTTCCCCTAGCCGGTCTCTGGATCGGCTAGGGGCTAAGGCCCTCATCGGCCACTAGTCTGGCAAGGGCCAGGCTCGACCTCGCCAGCACTGGCGAGGGCGAGCTCACCTTGCCATTGCGGGCGAGACCGACCATGGTGAGGGCGAGCTCGTCCTCGCTCAGCCATGGCCAGAGCGATAACCTCACTGTCACGGGCGGGGTCAACCATGGCGAGGGCGAGCTCACCTCGTCGTCGCGGTTGAGGTTGGAAATGGCGAGGGCGAGCTCAACCTCGCCCATATCTGGCGAGGTCGTCGCCCTCGCCAGTGCCAGCAAGGTTGAGCCTCGCCATGGTCGACCTCGCCCACAGCCATGATGAGACTTGACCTTGCCAAATCTAGGCGAGGTCGAGCTCACCCTCGACATGGCCGATCTCGCCCGCGACGGTGAGGTGAGCTCGCCTTTGCCAAACCAGTGGTCGGTGAGGTCACCTGGCCAGTCCGATGGGAAGAAGGACAGCAAAAAAAATAAAAAGGAAAAAAATAAAAAAAATTCAATATTTTAAAAAAAAATTAAAAATTATCACGTCCGCATCGGCCAGTCGGCCGGCATCCACGTCAGTGCCGGCCAGCCAAAATAGGTCTGATGGACTGAATTGGCACAGATACAAAATGTTTATGACTGAATTGGTACAATTGTAATAGGTTTAGGACTATTTTGGTAATTTTCTAAAAAAAAACAAATTAGATTTGTGAAGATGGCACTAGGTGTTCATATTGCAACAGTGGAAGGGGAGAGGATCCTCGTATGCATGAACTCACAAACCATAGATAACCAATATCAAGCATAGCTATCCCTTGGCAAGGCGCAACTTTGTAATCTAATATCTATATATTTAAAGTTAGGGGAAATTTTAAGGTCCCCTAAGTTTTTTTATGGGACTGGTGCCGCATACAATGTGGACCGTCGGATAAAAATAGAAAAAACATGGACCGTCAGATCTGCTTTAAAAAATGCAACTAGGCACTTGCAAAATTAGTTTTCTGCCGTAACTCGCTGAAGCAAAAAGAAGGCGACCGACTCAAAAGTGATAAAACCTACACGGGAGATGCTAGGCGAACTCGCCGAACACCCGTGTCATGTTATGATAACTGTGGATCGTGGGCCGCAATTTCCATTTCAAAGGAATGGGCAACCGATTGGACTTTTGTTGGAATCTAAACATAGACAATATTATATTTGCTAACCTTAATTAATTCAACAAGGAAGCTAGATAAAAAAAACAATACATACTGTGGAACGAAGGTTATGTTTTTTAATTTTATTTGAGGAATAATATCACTATTGTCACTTTATTTTTGTCTGAAAATCAAAATCATCCTTCTACCTGTTTTTTTGGTTAAAAAACGTCCCTCAACTTTGTAGAAATTGTCAACTTATAGTCTTTCCATTATACTTTTTCTCTTACTAGTCGATTTTTGTGGACATGGATTACAGAATTAATGACATAGATGCTGGTGAATACACATGTCACAGCGGAACACACATGTCATCTTATGGTTCGCTAAAAATTATTATGAGCCAAAAAGGTGCCACATCAAACAATATAAGAGAACAAAATTGAGAGAGAGATGGAGGTCCATCGTGGCCGCCATAGTTGCGAGCTCAAGCTCTAAGCTTGTGGCAACCATGGTCATGGCGACCACAACCACCGGAGTTTTGAGTTGCGAAGCTCGAGATCATGGCCGATCGATAAAAGCTAGCGGTCGTGGACTCGTGGCAACTCAATTGGTGGTCATAAGTGGTTACAAATCATAATTTTTGTGTTATTGTGGATGTTTTGTGGGTTTTCTTCAAGTTTATCATTTCTCTTATTTTGTTTTTATTATACTCACATTTAAGAAATCTTACTTAGAAGGATTAAAGGAAATCCCAATAACTGAGTTCATTCCAAATTTCCTAAAGAAACCGGATGAACAATTTAGCCGGTTCCCTTGGGCAAATTAATGACAGAGATGGCACCGTCTCTCTGGGAAGAGAGACGGTGCCAGAGAGACGGTGCCGTTGTGTAATTAATTTCCAACCTATATTTAATTAAGAAAAGTTATTGAATCATAGGTTGCTAGGATTTACCAAATATAGAGGCAAGTTTACGATAAATTATATTTAACAAACAATAGGGTAAACGAAATTCACTGTTGACCTAGATAGGTATTATTTCTATGGAATATTATAAACCATAAGAGCCACAAAATTTAGGATTACAAAAAGAAAATTACGTCCTGCAAAAGAAAAATTACGAAAGCATATTTTACAGGTAAATTTCCGTTAGTTATGTTTCATTAGGTGATCTACTAATAATCAAAAGTGCGATGTGAATCTGTCCAATACGATGTAATTGGTCAGACACATGATTTCCAGGGCAAACAAGGACAGAGTTCCATTCAAACATCAATGTCTTCTTCTCAATTTTTATATTTTAATTTTCTTTTGCTTTCCCCTTCTCTAAAGCCCAGACGACTTCTAGAACTGCAGACCAGGAGGTGAGTCCTGTTACGACGTGCAAGGCCATGTTATATTCATTGCGTTGACACTTCCCATTGATCTCACGTGGTTTTTCCACAACTTTCTCGACCGTCTAAATTCCTAAAATGAATCTGTTGATTGAATGGTTGCGAAAATTCCATAAAACCATTATTTTTAGGGGGACCCTTTGTGGGAATAAACGCTATCATCCCATAATCACAAGCGGCCAATGTTCACTTTACACAAAAACTAAAGAGGATAGCACTATAATCACATAGACCTATCATTCTTTATTTGCCGTACAGAATCCACAGGAAGAGAAACAGCAATGGTGGACTGGAAGTCTGGAAGTGCATTATAAAATCTTAAACTCCGCTTGTTTCTTTGGCATGAGGTAGCTTCATGTAGGGGCGGGCACATGCCTTTATCACCCATAGTTTTCGGTCCGATCTAGCCCAATTTTAGCCTAGCTAGATTTGTTAAAAGGATTCTCTTTTTAGATATATTTCTTATTTGTTGATTTTGGTGGAAGAACTATATCCCAAAGAGGATGCAACACATGCCATTGTTTTGTCATGTCATCCATATTCTAATATATCATTTTTTAAATGATATGAATATTAACAGTTATTTTGGATATAAATATGGTGACAAACAACATTCAATCATTTACCAAAATACAATAAATGGATAAATTAGAAATATAGGTTATTTTGTTATGTGAATAAAATTCATTTGATATTAACTCATTTCCGAAATTACAATCAAATTAACTATAGACCAAGTAAAAAGATATAGGGAAAATTTCAATTAAGGACCCCAAGTAGAGTCAAATTCTCAAAAAAGGGTCCAAAGTGAACATAGTGTCAAATAAGGGCATGAAGTGCTCAATCAGTCTCAAATAAGGACCCGAAATGCCCAAAAAGTCTCGAATAAGGACTGGGTCGCCGTAGCCAAAAAATACTGCCGTGGCAAAATGTTTCTTGTCAAGATCGGAACAAGAACTTTTTAATTTTTTTTATTATTTTCTTTTTGTTTTTCCTTTTATGTTTTTCTTTTCTTTTCCTTTTCCTTTTCTTTTTTTTTCTTCTCTTCCTCCGCCGGCCATAGCCGGGGCCGGCGGAGGTCGCCGACCTCAGGTGAGGCCGCCCTCGCCTGGACTGGGTGAGGTCGAGCCTCGCCAGATATGGCGAGGGCTCAGCCCCGCCGGCCGCTGGCGAGGTTCGACCTCGCCGGCTGCCGGCGAGGCCGGCGAGGTCGAGCCCTCGCCGGATCCGGGCGAGGCTCGACCTCGCCGGCAACCGGGCGAGGCCGACCTCGCCGGCTGCCGGGCGAGGCCGCCCTCGCGGGCCGGCGAGGCCGCCGCGGCGCGCCGGGCGAGGGCCGCCTCGCCCGGGCTGGCGAGGTCGGCCTCGCCAGTTGCCAGCGAGGAAGCGTCGGGCAAGGGGTGGCCTCGCCTGAGGCCGGCGGAGGAAGAGAAGAAAAAATAAAGAAAAGGAAACGGAAAAGAAAAAAAACAGAAAAGGAAAAATAGAAAGAAAATTTAAAAAAATTAA